TACAGAAAGTTGCTCTGCCCCGGGCTTCCTGGAATCAGCTGCTGTTCAGTTTCAGCAGCAGCTGACTTGGGGACTCCTGGGGTTCTTAAGTTGAATCTGTATGTAAGTCGGAACTGGCGTCCAAATTCAGCTGATCAGTTTCAGTAGCGGCTGAATCTGGATGCCAGTTCCGACTTAAATACAGATTCAACTTAAGAACAAACCTACAGTCCCTATCTTGTATGTAACCCCGGGGACTGCCTGTACAGCACTCAATCTTTTCCTAAGAGGAAGTTAAAACCTCAATTGCTAGGTGATGTCTGGAATAGGTAGTTCATATTTTATTTTAGTTCAGCCTAATGCATGTTTAAGTAATCGGGAAAAGGGATTCATCTTGATTTAATATGAACAAAGCTTCAGTGGTATATTTGTGGACATGTCACCATTAAGGAAGCTGGATTAAAATTGCTCAGGGTAACACCTGTAAGATTAAAGCTGTCTTTTAAAGCTGGCTAGGTGTCAAATGCAGAACACTGACACTGGAATTTATGAGGATACACTTAACTAGTTAAGACATGCACTTGCCATGAGTAAGCAAGTTCATTTCAGCAAATCTAGCTACATCTTACTTTGCCTCTGAGCCTTGGCTAGTTTAGGAGAATTTCGAAAACCTGTACAAATACAGCTGCTCCAAATAAACAGAGGCTTCCGTTTCTACATCTTGACTCTCTCTCTCCCTGGATTGGTTGCAATTCTAGATTAACGAATCAGAACCCTTACCTAGGACTCTGTTTGGGTAAGAATCAAGGGACTTGAAAGATCTTGCAGTAAACGTCCTCCGAAGTGGCTGCTGCCTGGAGATAAGGTGGGAGCAGTTACCAGCTGTAGCACAGAATCAGAAGTACAGCTGTGTTTTTTCCAGGAGCACACTAATGTAAGAATGAGTATTGGAGGCCCTTCTAAAATTCTGAGATACTGCAAACATGTAACCTTTGAAAGGTACAGTTCTTCGTAGCTTTTCTTTTTGGGTTACAAACAGGGAAGTTTGGAGGTAATAGATTATTTTTCCTATCTCCTTTTCATTATGCTGGCATGACCTATTTAAACATGCAAGCCCATTCTAAGAACACTACTTGAATACTCTATAAACCATGACACACTCTCTCTCTCTCAGGTGGTCCGCAGCCGTTTGGAAAAGAAGGGAATTGGCGTCCATAATGTCAGACTGAATGGGTCAGCAGCCAGCCATGTCCTACATCAAGATAGTGGCCTGGGGTACAAAGACCTGGACCTCATTTTTTGTGTTGACCTGAAGAGTGAGGATTCTTTCCAGCTAGTTAAAGATGTGGTCATGGATTGTCTCCTGGACTTCCTCCCAGAAGGAGTAAACAAAGATAAGATCACCCCCATGACTCTGAAGGAGGCGTATGTGCAGAAGCTAGTGAAAGTATGCAATGAAACAGACCGCTGGAGCCTTATATCACTGTCCAATAACAGTGGGAAAAATGTGGAACTCAAATTTGTGGACTCTCTCAGACGGCAGTTTGAGTTCAGTGTGGACTCCTTCCAGATTATATTGGATTCACTGTTGTTGTTCAGTGAGTGTTCAGAGAACCCCATGTCTGAGAACTTCCACCCCACAGTCACTGGGGAGAGCATGTATGGGGATTTTGGGGAAGCAATGGACCATCTCAGGAACCGAATCATCGCCACCAGGAACCCAGAAGAAATCAGAGGTGGTGGGCTTCTGAAGTACTGCAATCTCCTGGTGAGAGGCTTTAAGCCCAAATCTGAAGTTGACATGAAGACACTACAGAGATACATGTGCTCTAGGTTTTTCATAGACTTTTCTGACATTGGAGAACAGCAGCGGAAGCTTGAGAGTTACCTTCAGAGTCACTTTGTGGGGATGGAGAGCAAAAGGTACGATTGCCTTATGACCCTGCACAAGGTGGTGAATGAGAGTACAGTGTGCCTGATGGGACACGAAAGGAGGCAAACACTGAACCTCATTGCCATGCTGGCTGTGAGGGTGCTGGCTGAGCAGAACATCATCCCGACAGTAACAAATGTGACATGCTACTATCAGCCAGCACCATATGTCAGCGAGATAAACGTCAACTACTATGTCACCCATGTGCAACCCCTTCTGCCTTGCAGCCACTCCTACCCAACGTGGCTTCCTTGTAACTGAGCATGGACAACACTCTCCAGGATCTGTATTCCAGGGTGCTCCCTCACCTGGGAGGCCTGTGGAAGAACTGTGACACAAGGAAAAGTACTGGATCCTTTTTTTCCCCTCGAGTGTCTTGTTCCCATGATTGTTGGAACTAGCTGCGTCTGCTGTACGCTGTGGAGATTGGATGTGCAGTGTTATGGAAACTGTAGATTGTTTGAGATGTTTACAGGAAGACTTATGAATTATGTAAGCAACGGGGTGGGGGTTGTAGGGTTAGAGTAAAGGTAGAGCTGCACTGCCCTGAAATGCAAGTCAATTTGAATTTCCTTTTTGTGCAGGAGGTGTTAAGGGTTGTGCAGACTCATGGTTTCTGAAGCCAGAGTGGCTGATTCCTTTGAAGGACCAAAGAATATTGTTCTTAAGTGCCTGTAACAATATAAACACAATTGTACTGTACAACTTTTTTTTTTTTTTTTGCAGGGGTTGAGTTTCCCAATGTGCTTGTGTGAGGATGTCTCAAGATTAAAGGGGTGCCTGTTTCAATGGGAGGGAGTAATTTGGTCGCTTTTAGTGACAGAATTGAAACAGATGTTGGATTGCAGGTTGCTAAGGCTTTTGGCATTGCTTGCTTGCGAAGGACCAACTAATAGTATCTAAGGGCAGTTGAAACGGAGTTCCACAAGGTGGGGGTTGGCATTGAATGACTACATGCATGTGTCTAATGTAACCTGCGACAGTGGGGCTGGGGAAGAATTGCATTGTGGAGAAAGCTGTGCGGAGCTTCATGGAAATGGGAAGCAGCTGAGGCCTATCCAAGGATGTGTTAAAAGCTCTCAAATCTGCAGTGCCAAAATCTTCAACTAACTTATGTACACAAACAGTAAAGCGTTGGCTGTGTTTGGGCATCTGCCATAGGGTACACTAGTACAGAGCTATCTGTCTTATAGGGAATTTGAAATGCTACTCTCTCTCTTTTGGCATGCCATGTGGTTTTAATGCACAAACAGCTAGTGGCCAGCTGGGCATCTGAGACAAGGCTTGTCCTGAAGCACAAACCAGCTATTGGCTCGTCAAACCACTAACCATAGCAGTCGTTTTTATGTAGGTTGGAGCCAGTTTTAGGTCAGATGCTTAGAGGTCTGTCCCACAAGTATTAGAACTGACTGAATTTAGCAGATTCTCTTGATCTTGCCCTGCCTTGGCTGGAGAAGAATTCTCCCTTTCTGTACCTTTAGTTCCCTTGTCAAAAGCAGCCTGTTTTTCAATTCCACGTCTCTGCAACAGATAGCAGTTTGCATTTGTAATCTAGTTAGAAATGAAACATGACTTAGTTTAGGTGGAGAAAAACCACCCCTAAGCCTTGGCTTTAGGAAAAGGTATGTCCTCTTCCAAAAAACAAACCTTCATGCCTCAGAGCGTTTTGGTGTATTTATGCAAATGTTCTGCCTTTGAAGTTGTGTGTATGTATGTATGTGGAGTACAAACAGTCCTGCCCTGAGATGTCTGGGTTGCATATCCATTCTTTTGCAACATTGCATTTCAGATGTAACTATGCATGGGTCTGTAAAGCTGGTACAACTGAGATCTTGGGCATCTTCTGATCAAAAAGTGCCCAGTTCTGGGAGTACATGACACGCGTCACTTCATAGTGCTTCCGCAAAGGCTAATAGACTTGAGTATTTTTACTAGTTTTCTGGCTGTGATAAAACTGTACCACAGCTGGGCAGACTGAACAATCTAATAAAGATTAGCTACTTGGAATATGTATAACCAGAATTTTACCTTCTTGGGCATGGGTGGGGGGATGTGTACAGGGGAGAGGGGACTGGGGCTTGTGCATGCATTTCTGCGTACTAAAACTTAAACAAATCTTCTCCAACTTTGCTCCTTTCATCTTTATCCTGTAAGAACTGTGAAGAGGGTCCTGCCACTACCTGCTGTAGTTAGTAGGTGTAACACTAACAATGACCTCGTGCTCACAGGCTGTACAAGGTTATTTACAAGAGTGATATTGATAAAGCTAATGGGTTAAACTCTGCTACATGTAACTTCTTGATCAACCCAGAGCTTGATTTCCGCCTCAATGCTTGACAGAGGGCTTTGAAACTAGTTTTCCTTGTGCTGAAACTAGTTTAAATGCATGTCGGGAGACCCTATCTGGTTTCCAAAAAAGCAACCCTCACTTTAATTAAAGACTCACTTTAAGGGGAGATCTGGCTTTTGCACTTTTAACTAAACTTCATATTAACACAGCTGATCTGTAGCACGCTGCACTTCTGTTTAGGTTACTCTTTACCACAGTGTGACAATAGATGCACTAAACTAGGATCTTTCCAGGGCAGTGATAATTCCCTTTCTCTAACAATGTAAAGTTTCCCTGCAACTAAAGGATTAATGGGGAAAAACTTAAAGTAAGGTTGCACTTTTGATTTGTGGAATGTGTGGTATTGCACTGTTGTGAATGGGAGTGGTTGATTAACTGTCAAATTACTTGCAGTGTGAGATGCTGCCGTATGTAGAAAATCTGAAGATTCCAATAGTCGGGCACTCTTTTATTGTTTCAAATGTGCATTTTTTTCTGACTCTGTATCACTTGTCATGCAATGGGCTTGACATACTCACTAGATTCTTTAGAATCTGTTATAATAAATACAGTGTATTAAATTCAACAGATTGATTGCTTGCTTCCAACACACGGATAGGGTAGCTTCATATTTCAGCCCCTGCCCCTCCCCTCAAAGTCCCATCTACAAGCTGGCTGAGTTGGCATGAGGTTGAAGGACTGTCCACCCTGGAATTCAGATTCTGTAATCTTTGTTCTTTAGGCAGTTTAGTCCCTAAAACTGAGGCTACTCCAGAGACTTGGAGTACCCAGGGGTCAGGGGAGAGGGACCCAGCCATACCCTCCTCCCCCAAATTTTTTCAACTTAAACGTTCTTTACTATAGGGCACATTCCCTTTGCCAGTACTTTGACTAGCAGCTAGGGGAGGGAGGATGTCAAATGGCTAGTAACATTGGGGAGGGAGTGTAGCTTATCCTACAGAAGTTTGTGTGAGGAGCCCCTTGCTGGCAGTCTTAGCAGCAATGGACTGCAAAGCAGTGATGGAGCCCCAAGTGGGGAAATAGCTCCCCTTCTACAACTAGATGTGCAGATGGCTGTAATGTCTTGGGAGCGGGAGGGCTTAGAAAGCTTACTGCCAACTTTCAGACATGCTTAGCTCCCCTGCGCTCACTTGAGTTTAACGTTCCGTATGCTCTAGTTCTGGCAATAATTCCCATGCCTAGGCAGAAAGAGAAGGGGAAATAGAGCTAGAATAGCCTGAAGGCCAGGATGGCATCTCCAGCAGCAAGCAACAGGCATTTTTCTAGACACCTAAACACGTTGAGGCCCAATTCCTTCTTTGTCAGCGGGCTGGTGCTCGTTTTCTCAAATACAGCAGACCAGCTTCCTTTACTGCTGTTGGATTCAACTGAAACCTACACCTAACCCTGCGTGTTAAGGTGCTTGCCCACTGCTTACAGCTGATGCACCTTGTTGGTATGTAACTTCCATGAACTGGAAAGGTTCCAGTTCACAACTCCTTCTACCCATCCTGAACCTGCCTTAAACTTGCAAGGGGTGGGGAAGAACAAAGTCTTCTTAAAGTGAATCTCTCTCCACTTTTTTTAGGTTGTCTTCTATGCCCTCCTGCAAAATGACTGTTTATGAACTAGTGAATGAGCTGCCCTTCTGAATTAGTGACCTCAAGCAGAGCAGCCAAACCTCAGTTGGCCTTTCATTGTTGGAGTGGATCAAGCCATGCAAAAGGAGGGGGGGTGGAAAGTACTAGTTGCAAAGGAGCTATCCGTGTTTGCAGCTGAGATTGGGGTCCCTCTTGTTCGATCAAACATATCATTTCTCAAAACAGGTGGCCTAATTCCTGCTCTGACTAGATAGGTCCACTGCTGAGACAAGTAGGGGCTGATCGAAGGGGTTGCGTTCAGTTTGTGCACACGCCTACACTCCAGCAGTGTGTGGAATCGTAAGACTAGGTTGGGGATGCAACAGTTCCAACAAGCCTCAAACATTGTGTTCATTGTTGCAGTGTTAAGCTCCCATGCGATTGCAGCAGCACTGCAACCAGGGCCAGGGGAGTGTTGCAAGGACACAATCCAATTGTTGCTCACCACATGTTGTGTCCTATCTCCATCTGAGGAGGCACCAGTTGTCATGTCCCAGCTCGGCTGTTGGGGGATATTGCCAGGGCTGTTTTGAGGAATTCATTGCTGCTTGACCCTTGGGAAGGGCATTACTCCAAAGCTGACTCCTGGTAGCAGGTGCAGGTTCCTACTTTGGCTCAGCATCCCTCCATGCCTAAAGGAAAAGGACAGCCATGCAACTAAGGAGGTGGTGTCAGTTTGCTAAAGGACACCCCTCTACCTCACTCTATTTGATGGTAACTGGCTCTGATTAGGCAGCTGTGGATGTTCCCTCTGCAATTACATCCCTCTGTGGTGAGGCAGGGCTGGGGCCGTGGTTTCCTATGGGCTGTGTCACTGAGCTAGGGTGGTGGCATGGCTGTGACTCAGTGTAAGGCTTGTGTGCCTTTTCAGGGAACGCCTCCCTGTCAATTGCTGCAGGAGCAGCACAGACGCTAGAGATTGAGAATCTGCTGTGCTGTGGGATTTCGAAAGGGGGGGCCCTGGAATTCTTAAATGCACCTATTATGCTGGTGTCCCCATTGCATAAGAGACAGTGATCGGCTAGCGATGAGCTGCTGAGGCTGCTGTTGTAACAGTGGCTGGGTGGCAAATATAAAGATAGATTTGTCACTCCTGCTTGGTGCCATGGAAAGGCAAATCATTGCTCTTGATAAAGTGGAGAAGGTGAACTGTACCGCTGAGGCCCAAGGATGAGAGTCAGCTTGGGCTTTCTTCCTAGCTCTGCCACAAATTGTATGTGGCCATGTCCAAGTCACTTAATTCCTTTCCCTATCTGTCCACAAGATAAGCTTGCCTAGGAGGCAGGTCTGGTTTGGCACTCCCGGTCCACAGCAGAATTATTACAATATTCCCAGTGGGTTGGAATGTACAGTCTAGTCCTCAAAAGGCTGCTGTTTCTGCAGACACCTCCCAGGAAGTCATGGGCTGTGTCTAGACTGGCAAGTTTTTCTGCAAAATCATCTGCTTTTCTGTTAAAAGCATTTTCGGAAAAGCGCGTCTAGATTGGCAGGACGCTTTTCCGCACAAGCACTTTTTTTTGCAGAAAAGCATCAGTGCCAATCTAGACGCGCTTTTCCACAAAAAAGCCCCGATCGCCACTTTCGCGATCGGGGCTTTTTTGCGGAAAACAAATCTCTGCTGTCTACACTGGCCCTTTTGCACAAAAGTTTTTCGGAAAAATACTTTTGCCCGAACGGGAGCAGCACAGTATTTCTGCAAAAGCACTGACGATCTTACATGAGATCGTCAGTGCTTTTGCAGAAATTCAAGCGGACAGTGTAGACAGCTGGAAAGTTTTTCCGCAAAAGCAGATGATTTTGCAGAAAAACTTGCCAGTCTAGACACAGCCCATGAGGACCAGGCATCTCAAAATATGAGCAAACAGGGCAAATGGGAATCTCAGGCTGCCGTGCGGTGTTTTGAGGAGCCCCGATCTTGTAACTCTCCGCTGTGTTCCTTACTGCTTGTGTTCACAGGGCGGCACCCACTTGTATTAACACCTGCAATTAAGATGCATTTTGAAGGCTGCCAGAGGTCTAGTCTCTGTAGTTAGAGGCAGTAATTAGCTGAGCTTTTACACCACGCTGCCCCCTTGGTGCTGGGGGTGTTCAATGTGCTAATGTGAAAGTACGGAATGAGGCCCGCCTCTGTCTGCGAGGCTCCTCTTTCCATTTATAGCCATGCTTCGGCGAGCCGGCGCACGGAAGCTGTGCAGCCTGCCCGTGCCAAGCACAAGACAAATGGCTCATTGATCTGCAGATACGGGGAAGGCAGTGTGTTCCTCCTGCACCCGGGGCAGCAGGGATCGGTCAGAGTTGTGCTGGTGGAGAACATCACAGAAGTTGTCTGTCCCTTGACTGTGCTCCTGAGCACTGAGGCAGCATGCCCCATGACTGCTGTCTCAGGCCGGAGCCAGATGCATGCAGCAGATAACTTGTTCTGCCACTGCCTGGGACTGGCACATCTTGTCTTTTGGCCTCCAGCCAGTGGGTGCTCACTTGAGATTATAGGTGAGGCTGAATTCCCACAGATGAGATTTAATTTTGTCCTAGCACAGGCCCTTGGGAACACTTGAGAAACTGAAGGCTTGGCCCGTGGTACCGTCCCAGTAAGATCAGCTGTCGAAGCAGCGTGTGCCAGCGTATGGTCTCTGCTTGTAGACCTCTTGCCCGGCTTCCATGACTCTGCTGGGGCTATGGCTTCTTATGACTCTCGAACCTCTTCCTCCAAGATAGTTAGGCTCCCTCCTTCCTGGTGCTAGTCCCGGTGGGGCGGTTGGTTTTTTGGTCTCGTTTCTCTCAAGCAGCAGAGACGGGCTGTGGCCCAGGAAGGGCCATTGCTCTGAGAGGGCACGGGGGATGGTGTGTTTCTCGTGTGTGTGTTCATTTGCTGGGATTATCTGGGCACTTAATCAATTCCCTGGCATTGTAGGGGTCTTGGGCATTAGCTCCCTAGTTCTGTGGCACATAATAGTCGATTCTTCTGGGGCTGTAATACTATGATCTAATTTCGGGTGTTGGGGTTAGTGTGCAGGTGTTCATAGACTCAGAGCCACCGGAGCAGATGGAACAACAAGGCTCAT